ATCGTCAGCATTATTCACAACGTATCCGCTCAAATCCTTCACAAATACACCAATGTCTGGTCTTTCCTTCACCTCCAGCCGAGTATTCTGATCTTTACCGAGAAGGTCCCGAACTTCCTCATTGTAAATTTCCAAGTACGTCGCACGTACTAGAAATCTATCAGTATTAATTATTAATCGTTGATTATTCTCTATGGTTGCTTTTTGATGCAAGGAATATATTTAATCTACTTCAATGGTAAGAGCATCTTAATTATATGTTAATTATCTAATAATCAATTGACTATCTTTAAAATGATCAAATAAAACATATATGAGTCATATAAAGCAAAATATTTGCTTCATATAATTGCAAAAATATATTTAATACTAATGAGAATCTCAGTCTCATTCTATCTTATTATAATAAATGTTACGTTATATCATGTTGTATTATATTGTATACATAATTACATAAAAATATAAAAATATATGCACATATTGTTTGTAGCAACATATATCAATGAATAAATATATCAATGTCTTACTTTTGATTTTCATCAGCTTTAGCTATGTGCCCAAAGATCTGTGCAAATGTGTTTGGAATAATTCCTCTAGCCTGTGGAGAGGTTTTAGCACCTGACATAGTGTAAGTCTTGCCAGTGCCAGTCTGGCCATATGCAAAGATTGTTCCATTGTAGCCCTGAAGTACTTTGTCTACTATTGGCCTGGCAGTCTCGTTATAGATGTCCACCTGTGTGGAATCTGTATCAAACACTGCATCGAAGGAAAAGACCTTTGGTGGCTCTCCCTGTGCTGCATTTGGATTCTCTACAGTGATTTCACTGTTTAATGCATCTACATCTGTTATGTTCTTGCAGTGGCTATCTAGCTCCTTGCTGCTCAAAGGTCGAACTCTCACCACCACCCTAACATTCTCAATTTCTCCTAGCTCTGTAGAGTTATCCTGAATAAACATTATGGACCATGTAAGAATAAAGAAATTTTAATGTAAGTATTATTACTTAGGCTTATATATGCATAATTTTTTATATTAAATATACAATGCAATGTAGGAGACCACAAAATAGTAACATTGATGTTAAATAATTATTAATTTGTTAGATATATCATTAAGAATAATAATTATATACGTATATATAAAATAAAATAATAGAATAATTATAATGAGAAAATTATTATTAGATGCTATAAAAAAGCCTTTCCTTAGTTACAGACTCCCAATCAAGTTTGACGTTTGAGATATCAAATTGACTCATCCTTGATTTGGTAAAACATACATTTGTTGTACAAAATGATACTAACTTCTGTTCCCGGCATTGCGGATCAGTTCTCCCGTAATAATTACATAAAAGCGCACTTTTTTACAGCATAATGCATAAACGTCAAAACACTGTCGAAACGTCGAGCTAGCAGACGACCTCCGTAAACAAATGGATCGATTCCTACAGAGAGGAGCACATATACTTAAGTCTGTTCGTTCTCACGAAGACTTTTGCACTAGTACAATAAATTGGAATGAAACAAGTGTACTTTTGCGAGCATATAACGGAACGCACTCTTGTTAGGTACGGCATTTATATCATTAGTCTTGGGCTACATTGGCAACAGTCATTAGATGTAAAAGTATCAAAAAAGCAAGCAACACGAACAAACTTTAAATAAAGCGGGGAATTCAACCATCGGTCTCATTGGATAATCATACCGCACTTCAACCCCATCTGGAAAGTGGCGGTTCATAACGGAGACCTTGGAACTATTTCAGCCAATCAGAAATAACGAGTCTAATAGACCCCTTATTTTTTAACCAATAGCTTTCGGCCTGTGTTGGATGTTTCTCATGAGTTGGCCATATTGACCGAAAAGGAATTGTGACGCAGCAAGTAACGTATTTCACAAATAGTCTTACGTTATTTGTGCAATTTCGGCTTGTCCAGGATGAATTTCGTGCGTGGATCATCGCTGGAAGTGCCGAATAATTATTAAATATTAAAATGACTTTTTCACCTTCTCGAGTGGACGGGGGAACAATCTGGCTGCGTTCCAAAATCTACTCAGTGGATAGAGTACATTTAATTGACCAATCATGATAAAGAAATCCTAGTTATCTTTGTTTTTATTGGTCAATTAAATGCTATTCTATCCGTCGAGTAGAGTTTTGGAACGCAGCCTAGATATTGGGTGTATCTGAGTGGGGAGTTGGAACACAGTTTTGAGATCGTCGGTGAAATTATATATTGTACATTGCGTCAAATGTCACTTGTTGGATCATAAATACATTACGAGATGATTGACGGTACGTAGCATTTGTTAAATACTTTGCGCGACTATAACTTACTATTTTAAACAATAAAAAGCATCATTAGAACAGTTTATACAGTTAAAAAATTATCACTATAAATATTGTAACCGTGTACATAAAAATGTATATTTTATACGAATAATATATAATTTATAACGTAAATTCTCGAATTCGCAGAAGAAGTAATACGTCAGCGGCTGCTCATAGATGGTGATGGTACGGGAGACGATCGTAGGATTAATATGTTATTGAAGTCATTCATAAAATGGATCAACAATCCCGACGTGGACAACACGCTGCACGAAAGAATGCTGTCGCAGTTGGCGCAGTGCGAATTTGCCCAGAAAAAATCCAGAATAGTCTCGAGTATGAGTCGAGAAGAGCTGGAGAGTTATGAAAAACAGTCTAAAGAAATTGAGGTGCAAATCGAGGAGGCCAAGAAGGAGATAGAGACGACTAAAGCAGAACTGCAGGATGCCAAACGTGTTAGGAAAAATAGGATAGAATATGATGTGTTAGCCAAAGTGATCAGTGAGCAGCCAGACAGATTGGAAACTGATGTCAAGCTGGCTACATTGAGAGAAGAGTTAGGCAGTTTAAAGGTTAGATATGTCTAAATGTTGACTCAATACGTATAAATATGTGTATAAGTTATAATTATCAAGATAAGTTACATTTGGAATTTCTCACATACAGGAAAAATCAGAACAGTTAGAGCACAAATTAGAAATGCGCCGTAAACAATTCCATGTTCTAATATCTTCTATACATTCTCTTCAAGGAATGTTGGATGAGTGTGATGAAGAAGTAATGGATGTGAGTCTTGAGAATTTTGAGGATATGGATGTACAAGTGTCTGCCAAACAGACTTCATGAAATAAATTTATCAAGATTAAATGGATTGGAACTATGTGATGATGAGAAAAGGTGCAACAGATTGATAACAAAATTTTGTGCCATTATCAAATACAAATGTATTCTTGGAAAATTTCAATACTGTACATAAAACATATCAGAAGATTTTTAATTTCATTTTACTAGTCCTTGGTACATGTCTAATAGTCAAAGATAATCTAGTGCCACGTTTTATTGTTTCACCTTCTGTAAATTTCTCTGTACACATATGTAAATTTCTTACTGATAATTTTGTTATATTATCAGAATCTCTCTCTGCTATAGAATGTAAGTAACCATGATATAAGTCCTTTTGCAGAACCAACAGACTCCTAGGCTCAAGTAGTAAACTAAATTCTAATCTTGTTTGCTGTTGCTACAAGAATAACATATTATATAGAGTAATATATAGTTGCCTTTGTGTATGTGTGTGTATCAGAGCTGTAAAATTTTCAATTAAATTTTAATTAAATTTTTCTCAATTGATTTGAACAAATGTTTCAATTTAACCAATAGACAATTGATTCAAATAAAATCAAAGAATATTTGACTGATTTCAACATCTTCAATGTATTTGATTGAACTTGTTGAAATCACTTGTCAATTAAACAGCCTCCAATTGAATTATCTCATTAATTACCAATTAAACAGGATAATTAATTAAAAAATAATTATTTGCAACACTGATATATATGTATATACATAAATATATATACACATGTATGTTGTATCTTATATGTATATTATTTTGTATATTTCAGTATTTACCTCTGTCGTGTCAAGCTGTTTATAAAAATCAAGGAAAGTGTGGGAACCACAACTGATGGTAGTTACAACAGGGTAAAAGAGTGGGCCATCTGAGTGTGCCTGGCAAGGACATTGCATCATTATTCTCATTATGACTTAATGTACAAATTTCTATGTTTTCTACTAGCTTGCATAGAATATAAATATAATTTATACATGAAAGAGCTAAATGTCTTCCATTTCGGACATACCATAATTCCTTGGCCGGGCAAATACTCGTTAATTAAAACGTGATTAGGCAACACTCCACTTTCAAAGGCACTTAAAGCTGTCACTTTATTCATATACTTCTGAAGCCACTAAAAAGTTTGCATATTTTATTTTAATTAATTTCTAAAAATAATTGCTATAAATTTATCAAGAAAATTGTAAAGCTCAATATCACCTCAAGGGAGCCATTTATAAACTTGCTACTTATTGAACAAAATTTTTTAATCGATTCTAACTTAGAATTTCTAAAATACTTTATGACTTTGCTCGCTTACACTAGGAATCTCTTCTGCTATCATCCCTTTGGGATGCGGCACACCACCCCAATTCTGCAATCTACGGTGTCTCAGTTGCGTCCACTTTGGCAACGGCACGCTGTTTACACACTGTATGATCTGTCTCTCTTCCTCCTCAGTGATGAAATTCGGTATGTAACACGCAGTGTCAGGTATCTGTGGTTCGTAAGCAAGTAATCTTTTAATGAAATATGTACACTTAGAGGTTATAAGCTCTCTCTAAGTAGCATGTGACTTGGCTGATGAGAAGTAAACCTGCGAGACAGCTGCGTCGCGCAGCGAGAAACACTGCTCCTCCGTCATTTTTACAGTCTCTTGAAAGAATAACAGTGCTAATTGTGTCTTGATCCTCCAAAAGTCGCTGTTGACGGATCAATGTACGCTGATGTAAACAACTTGATAGCTTTAGGATTGCGTGCTAATGCGCATGATTGGCTTCTACTTTTCTACTGAAATGTAAATCTCCTTAAGAAACGTGAGTCCATCAGCTGTGACAGCTAGCAGAAGCTCGGTCGGTGCGCAAACGTCAAACTATTGTTTTTTCCGTGGGTCACATGGCGATGGGAATTTACCGGTTTAATTATATCTACGAATATCGGGACATCATAACAAAAGTCGCCTATGGCAACACATTTCCGGCTCTGTATTAATGTTTAGTGAGCGCGAATTTTATCTGTGAATATAAAAGCCTCGCCACAACGATCCGAACTCACGCGGCTGTCGTTTGAAGGTGTGCCGTATGATGATCAATATTGTATTTGCATAAAATCAATTAACGGCCTGGACTGACACGTTTTATGGGATGAGGTCCTATGAGGAAGGAATCAGTTGAATCTGCGCCGAAGTAAACCAAACGACGATCAAGCGTCAGCGAAGTAAGCAAAGTAAATGGATATTAATCAAACGCGATAAGTTATTTTGTAAAATATATAGATTTAGTTTTACAGTTTCGCGGGGTTTTTCCGGCGATAATAATAGTTTCAGACAGAACAGAGCATGTATCGAGTTATCCATGAAGAACCAAATGGCTGACAAAAGCATCAAAGAAATTTATCAGGTTGAAAATATGATTCAATCTGCTGTCAAATGCCTTAAATGTATACTGAATGAATTGCTTTCTTTTTTTTGCAGTTTCTTGTGGATCATAATTTTGAGAGTACGGCTGAGAGTTTGGTTCAAGAGGCATCAAAAATAGGTTTTCAGAATTTTGAATATAAGTTAAAAGACTTTATGGATCCACATGCTCAATTAATATTATGCTACAATGTTGGAAATTATTCAACATTTTTTCAAGTAAGAGATTATCTGGAATCTACTAATATATATATATATATATATATATATATATATATATATATATA